TTTAATTGGAGAGACAGACAATAAATAAACAAGACTAACACACAAGCTGTCATGTGTTAAGCACTAAAGAAGAGAAAGAAGGAACTAGGGGTGGGAAGTGATGTTGTTTCAGAAACGATGATCAGGAAAGTTTACTATGGTGACATTCAGTATCTATGTTTAACAAGGTGACATTTAAGTAGAGACTTGAAGTGTGAGAGAGCAAACCATGTGGCTACTGAGAGAAGAACATTCCAGCAGAGGGATTTAAAAATGCAAAGGTCCTGAGTTTGCAATGTACTTGGCACATCCGAGGAACAGAAGAATAAACAGAAGCCAGTGTGGCAGGGTGAGTGATGAGAATAGCAGATGAGGTCAGAGAAGTGTCCAGGAGCAAGATTAAGTGGGGCTTTATAGGCCCTATAGTGTGTGTGGAGTAAGCGGGAGAGTGCTGAATAAAGGACTGGCACACTGCCGTGTGTTTTAAAAGCGTCACTTCAGCGAGGGCAAGGGTGGACACAGGGAGACAGGAGGCTACTGCAGTGGTCCAGGAAACAGATGATGGTGACGTGCACCAAAGTGTGCAAGTGGGACAGGTAACAAGTGAGAGCTGCTAAGAAGCTGAAATGATTTGTGGATGGAATGCTTGATGTGGGAATGTAAGAAAAAGAGAAAAGATGCTGTTCTGAATAACTGGAACAATAGAGCCACTTACTAAAATGGGGAGAAGTGGAAGAGGAGCATGTTTAAGGGAGAATGTCACCTTTGTTTTCATCATGTTGTTTGAGATGCCTATGAGATTTCTATGTGGAGATGCTGAACAGGCAGCTGTGTTACAGAACTGGGTTCAGAGGAGAAGTCTGGGCTGGAGGTTTGTATCTGGGCATCGCAGCATAGAGAGAGACATGTAGGGCTGTAAGAGTGGATGATATAACTCAGGGGGAAGAAAAGGGGAAGACGTCCTAGAAGGAGATCTGAGACTCTCCAATGGAGGTCAGGGAGAGGAGGAAACAGAAAGAATAAGGGAGTCACCTTTCTCAAGAGAGAAACTTGCTCCAGAAACCAAATGAAGAAAGAGTGCCAAGAAAGAATAAATGCTCAAATATGCCAAGTGCTACCGATGATCATTACACTTAGCATTGTAGAAGACATTAGTGACCTTGACAAGAATACTTTTGGTGGAGTGGTAGGAATGAAATGTCTGATTGACTCAACAAGGATTGGGAGGAAAGGAAGTGACAGAGTATCTAGTCTTTGAACAAATTTAACTGTCAAGGGGAACAGACCTGTCAGCATGATGATGATGATTATTTTTAATCCTCACCTGAGGATATATTTATTGATTTGAGAGAGGAAAGGAGGGAGGGGGAAAGGGACAGGGATGGGGAAAGCGCAAGCGAGTGCGCAAGCATACCCCAGCTGGGGATTGAACCTGCCACCCAGTTATGTGCCCTGACTGGGAAGTGAACCCCCGACCTTTCAGTGTATGGGACAACGCTCCAACCAACCGATCCACCCAGCAAGAGCATGACAATGTTTTTTTTCAAGCCACGTTTAAATGCCTATGTGCAGAAATGGAGCAAGAGTTTAAGTTGGATTTCATAGGGAGCACGTCACTAGGCACAAGTGCGAAAGAGGGAGAGCCGACGAGGGAGTGGAGAGTGCTGGTACGGAGCGATTACAGTGATGCACCGCGCAATCTAATGTGATTTTAGGAAGCTGGAATCACATTAGGAGACTAAAATTCTTTTTGTATATTACACAGACAGTTCCATTTCTACCTAATTTACACAGCCCCCGTTGAGAGTTACACAGTTTCTTACACACAGTCCTCACTGAGAGCTACAGAGTTCTCTAACAAGATTTCCTCTCTCACCTTTCGGTGAACTTTAAGAGAATATGGTCTTGAGTTTTCAACTTTAACTGCCTTACTTATTATGTTGTCAGATCAAATGGCTTCCCTGTCATTAGAACCAAGACACAACCAAATTAAAACCCTTAAAAACCCCAAATGATGTGTGAAAAGTTCAGGAGCCAGGACTGGGGAGGAAAATGACTTTAGTGAGATAATTCTAAGCAAAATGGGCAAGATGAGGCTACTGAAAATCTAGATTCAAAAAGCTGGGTAAGGCGGAATGACCCAAGAAGCCTTGAAACCCTTGTTGTTGCTATGAAATCTTTAAACGATACTGAGAAGAATAAAACCTGTCTGAATTCAGCTCTATTAAATTCTACCATTTTGCCATTATTGCTTTGGTTTTTAAGACAGTTAAGTGCTTTTATAAAGACTTTTTTAAAGTACTCATTTTTACATCTGTCCCAGGGCTGTTCTGTTCCTCACAGGAACTGCCCGTATTCTTTAGGCGTGCTGGGGTTGGGATGAAAGGCTGGGGCCCTGAGGCCGCTTTTTCTGTACTATAAATATACAGATTTGCCTTAAAAATCATTATTTTTCTTTGCTGACAATATAAAATTCAGTTCCTTGAATTTGCAAATTGCAGCAGCTAATAACCTATTAGAATGTGAAGAAATGGGTATTCTTATGTGTTGTAGTGTATCGGGGATGCCTGGATACAAAAACTGCCCCTTACTTGTTTCCCATTGCTCCTTGCTGCCAGGCCTTCATGTCTGGTGACTGGTACCCAGAAGCAGGTGGAGTTTGCTGGAGCAGAGAGCTCTGAGGAGGAGGGATTGGCATCGGCACCATGGAGCTCCCAGGGCTCAGAGACGGAGCAAAGTTGGCCTCACCTTGGGGAACCATTCCTGCAAATTGACACAGATTAATTTACGTGAATATACTATAAATTTATTAAGACACAAGAATCTTTAGAAATATTCCAATCAACAGAGTAGAGAAAAAATTTCTGTCCCTTAAAAATAAGGCAGGAAATTTCAGGATAGACAGATAAACATATAAAATAAGTTTGAAAGAATGCTTTCTATTTTAAAGATGTTGATTTGCATACCAGGATTACATGTGATTTTCTTCCTGCTCTATTTTTGCTTGCATGAATTTTTAAGTGTAAAAGACATATGAACATACATGAAAGATAACTTGTATAATAAAGGTAAGTTGAAAAGGAGAGATAAGAACAATCCACATGTGCAATGAGAAATTTTTGCTTGCCACTCCTCAGTCATCTTTGTGGGCTCTTCTTCCTCCCCTTTTTTCTTTATGGAGATATAATCTACATAGCATCAAATCCACCCATTGAATTGCACAACTCAGTGTTTTCAAATAAATGTATTGAGTTGTGCAACCATCACCATAATCCAGTTTACACATTTTCATCAGCTCCCTATTTGCTGTACCTCTTTGCAGTCAATCCCTACTTCCGCCTCTGGCCTAAGGCAACCACTGCTCTGCTTTCCATCTCTACAAATCTGCCCTTTTTTGCAAATGTAATAAATGTAATCATGAGGTGTTCTGTGTCTGGCTTCTTTCACTTAGCGTTGTTTTTTTTTTTGACATTCTGTTCTGTTCAACCATTCTGTAGCAGCTATTGGTAGTTTATTTCTTTTTATTCAAGACAGTTATTGATTAAACTATTGAAAATCAATTGATAAGCCCTGGCCAGGTACTCAGTTGGTTAGAGTATTGTCCCAACATGCCAAGGTTGTGGGTTTGATCTCTGGTCAGAGCACATACAAGAAGCAACCAAGGAACACATAAGCAGAATAACAAATCGATGTTCCCCTCTGTCTCTATTTTCCTTCCCTTCTCTCCCTCGAATCAATAAATAAATTTAAAAAAAGAAAAAAAAATCAATTGACCATAAAAGTCAATCACTCTGTTGCAAGGAGCTCTATGTCTATACTTGTACCAATACCATACCACACTGCCTTGACTGTTATGACTTTATGGAGATTTTTGAAACTGGTAGTCATCCAACTTTGTTCTTTCTTTTCAAAACTGTTTTGGATTTCCATATACATTTTAGGAGAAGTGTGTCAATTTCTCTAAAAAGCATGTTGTTTTTTGATAGGGACTGCATTGAATCATAAGACCAATTTGGAGTGAATTACCATCTTTTTTATCTTTTTTTTCCTAATTCCCATTGCTGTATCTTTAAGTTCACTAATTTTTCTTTTGTAATGTTTAATCTGCTTCTTACCCCCTCCAGTATATTTTTCATTGTTTCATATTTTTCATCTGAGAGGTTGATTTTGTATTTTTTAAATACCTTTCATACATTTACTTAACATGTTCAAGCTTTCTTGTAACTTCTTGAACATACAGAATAAATGTAAAATTCATAATTGTCTTAAACATCCCTGTCTACTAATTCTATCACCTGTGTGATTTCTGGGTTGGTTCTGATGGATCGATTTTTCTTCTCATTATTGGTTGTATTTTCCTGCTTTTTTCTTGCCTGGTAATTTAAAGAATGATCCCAAACACTGTGAATTTTACCTTGTTAGGTTCTCAATTAAAAAAAATCCTTTAAAATATTTTTGACATTTGTCAGGGTCATGGTTAGGTTACAGGAAAAGGGTTTGATTCTTTTGGATCTTGTGCCTAAAGAGACAAGAGCAGACAGAGTTCAGTCTTGTTTATTAATGAGGCAAACCCTTTGGAGAATTCTGCTTGACATCCCATGAATTCTGAGTTTTCTATTCTGGTTGGGAAGAGGAGTTGGCTCTGTGTGAACTTTAAAGACAGTTCCCTGCAATCTTTTCAGGTGGCCTTCCTTAGCCTGGGTTTGCATGTACACACACATACCCCGCCTGGTACTCTGCTGAAGAACTACGTGGGATCCTCTGCAGATCCCCCGCGGTTCTCTCTCTGTGTGGTTCTCCCTTCTCAGCACTGTCCCAGCTCCACTGCCTCAACTCAGGGAAATTTCTTGCTCCTTGGTGGCTTCCCCTCCCTGCATACAGTCTGGACAGTTTTGAGAACTGTACTTTATTTAATGTAGTACTTTGAGAGTTTGTTTCAGATAGGAGAATAAATCTGGTCCTTGTTACTCCATCTCGGCCAAAATTGGAAATCTATAATAATTTTCTTTTTCATTTTTTGCTGGGAGGGAGTGTGAACGCAGACCCCCACTACCACATATTGTGCAGTCGCCTTTCCCACATTTGGGGAAATCGCAGGGGTCAGGCACAGCTGGAGTGCAACGGGTGAGCCTCGCCCTGGGAAAGCCACCTTTGTGATCACGGTGTCTCCCCTGCCAGGGAAGTCTGTAACAATTTTAAAATGTAAACATGGATTTCTTTTTATGCTTTCTGTTATATTAGCACTTTCTTTTCTTTTTCTTCTGACAAATACATTTCAGAGTTAAACACTTTTGAGGTAGAGAAAGTTGTACAGGGGCAGAAAAAAAGAATGTCATAATTTGATTACCTATAATTTAGAATAATTCCTTTAAATCTTCCTCTATAAAATCTTGGATAATTGTGCTGCTTCTTTCCCTTATTTTTATATCATACATATTTCTATTTCCTTAATGTCTCTTTATAAACATAATTGCATATACCTGTATAATAGTCTATAGTGTGTCATTGCTAATATAATGACTTCTCTTTTTTTGTTTGGTTAACCTGGTCAGAGATACAGTTAATTTATTCACTTAGTTTTTAAAAAATATTTTTAAAAGATTTTATTTATTTATTTTTAGGGAGAGGGGAAGGGAGAGAGAAAGAGAGGGAGAGAAATATCAATGTGCAGTTGCCTCTTGCGTGTCCCCCACTGGGGACCTGGCCTGCAACCCAGGCATATGCCCCAATTGAACCAGCAACTCTTTGGTTGGCTGGCTGGCACTCAATCAACTGAACCACACCAGCCAGGGCTCACTTGTTTTTTTATAGGCTACAATTTTAAATCTCCCGTGAAAGTTGAGACAACTATAGACTTTATAAAGCATTTTTTCTTTTACTCAATGTTTAACTACTTTTTTGGGTAAAGATTATATAAATAAAACTACATATTTTTTCCTTGCTCCTTCTTCCATGGGTAGTTTAATCTCTGGTAAATGGTTTTAATTTAGAATAGAGAAGAAAATGTTTTCTATTTATGACTCTAAAGGGGTGGGGTTTTTTTCCCATCATGTTAACCATCTTGATATATGTTGATTGTTTTTGCATTAATTCTAAATTTAAGTTTCAACTATTTTAGTTGTGATCCTTAAAACACTCATCTCTTCCTTGCCCTGGCCAGTATGACTCAGCTGATTGGAGTGATGCCCATGGACCAAAAGGTCACGGGTTCAATTCCTGCTCAGGGAACACGCCCATATTGTAGGTCTGATTCCTGCTCAGGGCCTGTGCGAGAAGGCAACCAATCAATGTTTCTCTCTCTCTCTCTCTCTCAAAAAAAAAAAAAAAAAAAAAAAAAAGCGATGAAAAAATGTCCTTGGGTGAGGATAAAAAAAAACACTTGCTTGTCCTATTTTAAATTGTATTTATGATAAAATATTTCCTTTCAGAAAAATTATATATGCGAGAGAGAAAAGATTCTTATTACATTCTGGATATTACTCAAAGTAAACAATAAATAAGAGGCTCCAAGTACATCACCATGCTTTGTGACATTTCTTTCTGGCCTTATCTCACATTTTAACTGCCCATGTTTTCCTTATCAGATGACCTAGTTTTAGTAGAAAGAACCAGCCTGTCAATAATGAATTGCAGAGTTCATTAGTTACAATTCTAGTCCCAGTTCTGCCACTACATAGGACCTTGGATTCCTTGAACCGGCAATCTAGTTTAAAAAGTCTGCAACTCCATTTTTGCCTAGACTATGTTAATTCTTCCTGCTGGGCCATGAATAGTATCTAGTTGCTAGGCAGCAACCAGAATTAAGATTCATCCTCCCATTCATTTATTTCTTCAAAGATTCATTAAGCATCTACCTATCCCCCTCCAACCTGACCACTATGCTAAGCACTTGATAAACAGAGATTTAAAAATAAACAAACTGCACTTTGCTCACTCAAGGAACTTGCTGTTTAAAAAGAAAGGCAGCTCCATTAACAAGCAGGTGGAGGGCAGGGTGGTGAGTGCTTCTGACTGGGAGAGCCAGGGCAGGCTTCCTAGAGAGGATGCCTCTGAGAGGGGAAATGGGAAAGGAGCGAGAGGGGAGGGAAGGGTGTTTTAACAGAGGGCACAGGATGTACAAAAGCCTGGAAGTAAAGAGAGCAAGGTATGTATTCTTTCTTGGAACTTAAGGAGTTTCTTTAGCTAGAACAGAGGTATGGAGAGAAGAGGAATTGCAGTTGGTGGGTCTAGTTCTGGACAAGTTGACTTTGGGGTGTTGGTGGAAAATTAAAGCATGCGTGTCCAGTAGGAGGCTGTACACGTGAGCCGAGGGCTCTGGGTTAGAGATAGAGAACAGAGTCATTAGCATGAACAGGTCACTGAAGCCACAGCAGCGGATGAGATCGCTGAGGAGTGGGTGGAGTAGCACATTTACTATGTAGTTTACAGAAATGGGGGCCCTGGATGGGCTTCAAGGAATTCATGAAGCGGGTATGAACTTAAAAAAGAAAGTAATCCCTCATATTTACTTAGAACATTGCCTTACTATAAAATAAATTTTAAAAGTCTAATTTTTTTCTAGTGCACTCATCTTCATGGCATAATAGTCTAGAAAAATTTTGTTTTCAGAAATAAAAGGAAACATACTCGACCATTACTATTACCTGCATGTTCTTTCAGCTACTTTGGGCCTATATTCAGCTGAAAGATGCTCAAAGGACGAAAGCAAAGTTAATGTATTCATCTTTTAGTTTTATTATCATCAGTTAACATAGGGATCGGCAAGCTTCTTCTGCGAAGGGCCAGATAGTAAATATTTTGGTTTTGAAGGCAATAAGGTTTCTGTAACAACTATTCAAATCTGTTGTGTGAAACCAGCCATAGACAATATGTAAACCAATGGGAAGGACTGTGCTCCAATAAAACTTTATTTACAAAAACATGCGGTGGCTTTTATTTATTTATTTTTTTGAGAAGTCTTGCTTTGAAAAGGTTAGAACTTTTCCAGAATTTGAATTTTTAACAACACACAACCTGGTCTTGAAGACTTCTAGTAGGCTACTGATCATACTGGATCAAGTTTTAACTTAGAGCAATAGAAGAAATTACAAACATTTCATCTTGAAGTGATCTTATACTATCGAGGAGAACTAACAACTTCCCTTTATTATTTTAAATAGTTTATGGAGGAACTGAAAGTTCTGCTATTTCATTTCAGTCTGCAACTGGATGAAACTACTACTCTTTCCACTGTACCCAGCTTCTGGATTTTGTTTGGAGTATGACTGCTGCTTTTATCAAGGAAAAATTCCTATTTTGTGAAAAGTATTTTTTTGTCAATCAGAAGCTGGGCTGGAAGAAAAGTCAGGGTACCAGATCAGGTGTCTATGGTGGGTGGCAACACATCCGGTTACATTGCCTGGTGAAGGTGGAAAATCCACCCCACTCATTGCCTCAACTACTGTGTTCTGTATATTGACCTGTGAGAGATCAAAGATTAGACCCACAACCCTGAAAGACATCTTGTCAACTTCACTGGGGCTGGGACTTTGAAGCACTGCCTCTCCAGGTGGCTTTGTCAAGGAACTGAGGCCAGATAAAAGTTTTTCTTTCTTAACTTTCCAGAGAAGAGGTGTTAAAGAGCATGACGGAAAATTGACGGAAGTACTATTTTTATAAGAGAAAAAAAATCCTTTGGGAATTTATTAATGTTTGGCTTACTTGTAGTTAGACCCCCACCCTCCCCATGAATGAGATAAATCTTTTGATTTAAGGCTTTGCAATCAATATCATGAAGGCCAAGAATCTATTTGCTGTCCTGGCTAGGTTGCCATTTTAGAAGAGGAATGGGTAAATAAATAATTATAGAAGACTCCTAATGTTGGAGAAAGTATTTCTGCAAGCTAGAATAAAGTGAAAAAGCCTGTCAAATTCTTTGCATATAGAAATAATAAGAAATAAACCTCTTTTGAAAGCCATTCCTGTTCAGACAATCTTATAATGAAAATGTGGATTTATAATCCTTTTGTTGCCCACACATATAGTGTCAGAGATTCAAACCAGCCAAAGATGACTTCATTGTCTTGAGGACAGAGGAACTGAAGTAGCATAATTTTGATTAAAATGTCTTATAGAGAATTCTGGGGCTCTCTGATACTGGACACTTAATTTAATAGTCAAAGGATTTTAGCACTTGTTGCTATAAGAATGAAAAGTCTAAATTAACTAGGCTGTCAAAGTTGGTAAGCATACGGCCATATCAAAAAATCTCTATATAACTTCACCATTTTATTCAAGTCACACAGCAGCCTTCTCATCGATAGTCATATTTAAACAGCCTTAAAATTTACTTTTTCTTTCACTTATAAAATCAAGTAATTCATTTCAATTTTTTCAGGAACTTGCCATTACTTCTGTATCAAAGTTTGATTAAACATGGTAGATTAATCAAATGTGTATTGACACTATCTATTAGAATTTCAAAAGTGACCCAAGTCAAAAAGGTATCGCCTAGGACAAAGAGAATGGAAGAGACAGTGCAAAGGAAAGATTAAAAAGAAAAAAACCTTTTGAAAGCCAGGAAGTTGCCTAAAATTGCAGGAATAGCTTACGACCTAAGCAGCTAAGAGTGGTGACACTAATGAGAAGTCTGAGACACTTTGTGATGATTGATTATCCTTATGTAAACTATTAGAATTTCCAAAATAATAAAAAGACTGTATTCAAATTATGAGTTAATGTACTTAAACCCACTGTCTGAAGTAAACTTTCATTAGATTCTTAAAGGGATCCATGAGAGAAAGAAAATAAGAGAATGCGCCTTGTAGATGGGTCTGTATAGATTCTCTAATCTAGTGCCCTGGCTAGGTAGCTCAGTTGGTTGGAACATTGTCCCAGACACCAAAAGGCTGAGGGTTTGATTCCCAGTCAGGGCATGTATCTAGATGGCGGGTTTGGTCCCTGGTTGGGGTGCATATGGGAGGCGACTGGTCGATGTTTCTCTCTCACATCGATGTTTCTCTCTCTCCCCCTCCCCCATGTGTCTTTATAAAAATCATTAAACATATCCTCTGGTGAGAATTAAAAACGATAATAATCTTATCTATCAAAGAGAGATATAAGCCTCAAATCATTCAAGCATTTAGTGGTAAAAGGTGAGTCTGGAGCCTGGTCCTCCCAACTCCCACGTGGGTGTCTTTGTTCGTTG